TGGGGCTGGTTTGTTGCCAGGCCAACTGCTCTTCTCCCACACAGCTGGTTTGGGCCAGGCTGTACCCTGCCCCCCTCTGTGCATCTGGATCAGGCCCCACTGTGCCTGCCCGAAGCACCAGATCAGGCCCACCAGCAGAATCTGGCCTGTGGATGGACTGGGCATCACCCATCCAGCCTCTAGGGCAAAATGGTTGAGCACCATTGATTTTGGATACTCAGCACCATGCAGGAATTTGAGGATGCAGCCCTGATTCTCCAGAAATGCCCAGTATATGACAATCGCAATTGTATTGTGTCTTTCTAAGATTTACAAGTAAAATGCAGCTTGAATTAACAACGGCATTGAGCTGCATTACTTTTGAATAAAAACCCTTAAAAAGGTGCTTCTCCTCCCTTTTCCATCCTGCATGCTTCTGGTTTTTGAGAAATGAACTGCATACTGGAAAATATGAAGAGAAAAGGCTACAGGTGGAAGAAGTAACCTCATCACACTTACCCCCAAACTGATCTTCAGGTATTCTTCCAGCTTTCTGTCACTGCAGTGCTAGCTTCTAAGGCCTTCATGCTCTCCATTTAGAGTGAATGACTGCTTAGTTGCTGCTTGCTACTGCTGAGCCCCAAAACAGCACACCCGGAGGTAAAGGCACTTATTCTCCAAACCCTGCCTCCCAGCAGAGCTGCGCCAGTTCTCTTGCTCCCGTGTTGTATTTCTTTCCTTTCTTCTAGTTAATATGCCCCCCCCTAAAATGTTGTAGTACATAGAAGGAAGAAAATATAACATCAATGATCCATGTAACTATCACAACTAATAAACTCATGTTTTTGAGGAATACCACTCATACTATCAGTAGCAATTGCTAAAATTAAGGGTGCAAAACAGTTTCTATTGTAAATGTATTTTCACTGACTACAGCATTCTGACTATTCATCTTGTGGGCTAAAATATTCTGTTTATGAGCACTACCCAGAGTTCATTTTTTAATTTATTTTGGGGCAGTGAAAAAGTGCTTTTCTCAAAAGAAACAAGAAGCGAGGAGGAAAAGGAATGCAATCAGAGCTATTTTTTTTTAACAGACAATGTAAAATTTGGCTGAACTTTGAAAACTGACATGCAGATAATCAGGGCAAGGAGTAATGGACAGCTGGACAGGGAATGGGAGTTTCCAAGGGGATTGCTTGAAAAATGTGCAGTAGAAAATGTTACGTTGTAGCTTGGGTACTACACATGTGTATTTGCACAACTTAGGAAGTGCCTATTTCTAAGACACAGTTCAGCTCTTCAGTAGGGATGACTGATGCCCTGTCACACCCTTTATTCCCCCCAAAGTTCGTGTGTGTGTGCGTGCGTGCGTACGTGTGTGTGTGTGTGTGTGTGTGTAAATATGATCATATGATCTCATAATTAGTTTACATGTCTTAGGCTTTGTAATCCTAAAATGGGCTGCTGTACCTAGAAAAAAATTAAAACTGTAACCAGACACATCAAATTTCAGCTCACTTTCTCCAGTGTAATTGTTTATACATTAACTTTTCAACAGCCAAGTTACCCAAAATTGTCACAATGCTGGAGAGGATAAGGCACCTCAATTTTTGTATTCCCCAATGTTTTTTCAGCTGTGCAGGCTTATTGTTTCATGAATGTTTTACCTTGTGGTTAATACTGGTAAATCCTGACCTTGATAGGCATTGAATCAACATTTTTTTTGTGGAATTGGGAAGCGAAACAAGTTATGCAGAAACACAACGTGCAGTGTGTGGTTTTTCATTCTGACTATAATAACCGTAACTTGAAAGACTCCCCCACAAGCACTAACTGCAAGCTTTAACAAGCTCCTAATAAAGTGTTTAATTAAAAAAGAAGAAATTGCATCACCTCATTTAAAAAAATATACCCAGGATGTCTTTTTCAGTTTCAGCTTATAATAGCAATAACAATCTGAGCTGAGGACATTTCCTGAGGCTTAATGGCCTGTGGCTCTGCTTCAGGTGATCATCATCTCCCAGCAGTCATTAATCCCCTAGATATGCCCTACACCTCAGTCGTTATTATTTAAATGCATTTCTTCTGAAAATACAGTATTTCTGTATTTAATGGATCTTCCAGGAATAGGTATGATCTTATTAAAACTGGGGGTTTTAGTCAAAGAAACATTAACTATGACAAGAAGAAAAAACGGTTTCTGTGATAAATCTTTCCATGACTGCACCATGTCAATCACCAAGATATATTTGTTACCAATTCTCCCACCTACTATGAATGCAAGAAAACATGAGTTTCAGCTAATTATTTGTAGGTCTACACCCACCATGGGGATCTGTAAGCTTTATGTCTGAATACCTCACAAACAATGCCAAGTTTATTGTTGAAACACCATGTAAGAAAAATAAATTTATTGCCATTTCCCAGCTGGGGTACTGAGCAATTTAGTGACTTGCTTTGAGTTTCACAAGAAGCCTGTGACAACGTGAAGAATACAACCCAAATTTCATGAATTCTTCATACTCAAGGTCTCAAACACCATCTTGTAGCTAAGGGATCCACTGGAAAAATCCCTTCCAATTGCTCTAGCATCAGTGCAATGCCCGTATTATGAGCAATAAGACCAACATTTTAGCCATTTTAATAACATTTAAGCTATTCAGCGGTCTGTAGATCCTCCTTCATTGTAAAAAGAGTCTGAGTAATGACCAAATAGAAATCTTGAGATATTACCTAGTGATGATTATAGTACTTAATGGCTGGAGAGTGTTCTATATTGCAGCAGTACTTGGGACCTAAACACTTGTATGCCAAGCACTGAAGATAAAGCTTATGCTTGTCCCAGAGTGCAATCAGATTTAAGGCACTAAGGGCCTGAACCTATTCCCATTGATATCAGTAAGATATTTCCAGTTCCAAAAAAGTGGACACCTGTTGTGGGGATACCTCACTCCCAACTCACAGCCCCTGGCCCCTCAGTGCCCTCCTACAGCCCCCCCGCAACCCTGCTGCTGCCCCTCACTCCTGACCCACAGACCCCTTACCCTGCCAGTGACCCTCACTCCCAAACTGCAGTTCCCTGCCCCACCAGGCCATGCTGCTGCCCCTAACTCCTGACCGGCACCTCTCCATTCCTGCTGGTGCCTCTCACTCCCACCCCACAGCTCTTTGGTGCTGCCAGTACCCCACACTCCCAACCCACAAGCTCCCCCTGCCCCTCCTGTGCCCTCACTCTGAACCCACAGCCCCACTGGTGCCCCTCACTCCCAACGAGCAGCCCACTGCTCCCCGCCAGCCCTGCTGGAGAGGACCCCAACTGCCCCTATCCCTAGCAGGCTGGAGTGTGCTGGCTCTGATTCATGTGGGCAGCAGTGAAGCAATTCCAGCACCAGTATAGGTGGAAAGGAAGACGGGGGGAGGTCTCTGTGGCACCTCCTGGCCTGGGCTGGGGCTCCTGTACTGCACGAGGCAGCCTGGCCACATACCCCCCCACCTTCCCCTGGGCAGCATCTCCTGGCTGCTTTGCCCCATGCAAGCATGGGCACCAGCCCCTGTGCTGCCACGTGTTCCCCATTGCCATCAAAGGGCCCCCTGCCCCTTCCCCTGTTGGAAGGGCAGGCAGTTTCCCCTCTGGTCCCCCTCCACTGCCACAGTCCCAGACCCAGCAGTCACTACCCCCGAGTGCCACCAGGCACCCACCTGGTCTCTCACACCCTTGCCCTAGACACACACATACCCCCCACACCCCATACACTTACCTGCATCCAGCTGCTGGGGCTGGTCCCACCCCCCTGCCTGGCTCCATACCAGCCACATGATGCCCCTGCTTTCAGTCACCCTCCCCCTGCTCCCACCAGTGGAGCAGAGGAAAATCCAAGACATTTGTTCAGATTTCAAAAAAACCAACCAAACGGAGATTGGAGGACCCAAAAAAAGGATACATGTCCAGAAAACCCCGGATGTATAGTAACCCTAAATAAGAGCTTTGCCTTTGTCTTGAGTGAATACAGAATCCGCTTCTTATTATTCTGTAAACATTATTTGTATTTATTACAAATGTGGTGCAATTTTGTATGTGGGTAAAAGGAAAAGAGTGAATGAGGGAGAGCACTTGGTTTATAGATGTCGTCAACATAATGTTAGAACTGTGTGAATAACTGATATTTTTGTTTGTTGTTGAGCTGAGAAAATTTTTTTTTAAAGTCTTGGGTTGATGTGCAATTATTCTTTGTTTGCTTTCTTGTGAGCCTAAATTAATTTTAGTTAAAACAAAACATTCACTTGTCATTTAATTTTGGGGTGTTTAACCATTAATTATTATTAAATGCTGTTATTGAAAGTTGGCAATTTTCTAAATAAAAATATTGTTCCAAAATTAAAAATTGAAATATTGTATTTAGAAAATAGAGAAAAATTTTGAACTTTCCTATATTTGTTTTTTCTCCCTTTGTTTTGTTTTGGCCAAACAATTGGCTGAATTCAACCTGAATTCAAAAAGAGTTTTGGTTTCCCCTGCCAAGATGCAGGTAAATCTGCCATACTGAACCATATGAGCCTCAGCAAATGGCTTCTTGTGCCTCTAGCTCACTTGCAGCTACCTTGGGGATTTCTGCAATACACTTCTGTTTGCAATACCCTGAGACCATTTACCAGTGCCACACATCCATTTTGTGCCCAGTCTGCAGTGCAACTGGTACTGTTATTGAAGTATTCTCTTATTCCTAGAAACTGAATCCTCTAAAACTGCCTTGAGCAGGAATGTGAGGAAGGTTACATTGCTGATGCCCAGTTGTAATTTGACTACCTTTCACCAAGAATAAATTGTTGCAGATATAAATATAAGCTATCAAAATTCTATCTTTCAAAAAACAGTTGTCATAATTCAACAGTATGTCTGGTGTATTGTAGAGGTTTATCTTGAGAGTTCTTCATTTTATCTATTTACTACAAGTGCTATATATTTATTTATTGAGTTTAAAAAGTTATATATTTTTTTCATGATGTGCTTTATATTGTAGGTTTTATTTTCTCTCTGCATTGTGTTCTGGGGAGTGCAAATTATGAAGAAGCTGACCTCAAGCACAGCTAAGCAGCTTTAAAAGAGCAAATGCAACAGCACTCTAATTATGGAAAGAGCACTTGGAATATGCTTTGAAGTTCCTTGGAAGAAGTTAACTGCTGCTTACAGTAAAACAATGATTTTTCATAAGCTAGGTAGGGTTCATGATTTTTAAATGAAGTTTTAAAAGATGCATTAAAAGGACCATATACCATATGTTTTTATTTGATTTTTAATATATAATTTCCCCCAAATTTAAATGAAAGTTTCTTTTATTTTCTTCCCATGCTTTCACAGCATATTTTTTCACATTCAAGGGATCACAACACTCTTTTAAAAAGCCTGTAAAATAATAGCCTTTTATAATCACTTTATTAGTATGTAACCATATGTAAAAAGTATTCTTCAATAGAAGTAATTAAAATCATATCTGTTACTACCTGGTATAAAGTATCTGCCTGTCTCACCATAGAGGCCAAATCTGAAATTATGTGAATATAAATTTTTCCATAATGCGTAAATTATAGTAGAATCTCAATGGCATGCCCAATTGTATGTTCATAACATATAGCTACATAGGGATGAATAGTTGAGACAGGAAATAATTAAAAACAGCATGATAAAATAACTCAAACTAGTATGAGCTGAAATGTCTTCAATAAAACTGGCTGATATATGTGGTGTATAACTTGGGCTTGCAACTTGAATTAAACTGCTTAGGAAATATACCTGTGTGTGCCAATGATTTTAAGGACTGACTGTGCTGACACTTAGCATGGTCCCATTGACTAAAATTGTTCATGTGACAAAGTGCTTCCAGGATCCGGCCCTTCATTTCTAGTAGTCACTTGACAAAGTGATCCCAGGAGAGATGCATCTACTGGGAGGTGATGTGGAGAGAGTGTCAGTTGATATAGGAAAATTGAATAAAAATGGAGAAAGGGAGTCTCCAAACAGCAGGACTGGCAAAAATACTGGAGTTAGGTTGTTTTTCTTTCCTCACAGTCTTCCAACTTTTCCTTGGTTTCAAGATTTAAAAAATGCTTAAAAATCATGTAGCTAAAAACTTTAAACTGCTTTGCATCCTTCAAACTAGTAATAGTATTTGGATAAAAATATCATTATCTTGTAAATACTTTTCTATATAGTTTATAGTTTATTTTCTCTATGATTTATTAACAGAAATCACAGATATGGGTTCTTACCCTACTTTTAGCTACCCTGAATTTTCGTATTTGGAACCAAAACTTGAACACAGTATTGCCATGCCTAACACCAGTGCCTTCCATGGTTAGGAAGATAAATAATATTAATTTGATTTTCAGTTGTGCTGATTATATGGTACTGCTCTAAACTGACTGGCTCTTGTACCAGAGGCAGCCTAACTGCATTTGAACAATTAATTAGGAAGAGGGTGGGCTAATTGGCCCTGTCACTCAGTGTACAGCTCAGGGCACAGGAAACTTCTATTTCAGGAGGCAGCCCATACAGAGTAGTGCAGCATGTTTAAGAGTACTGCTGCCAGGCATATTTGCAACCTAGACATGGCCTAGCTGTAACCTGTGTCAAAATATACAAACTTGGATGTTTCAGGTTAACCACTGAAATTCATGCTTAGGAACTTAAATAAAACTGGCTTGATTTTTCATTTGTGCTGAATAGCGGATCAGTTGTGTGTAAAAGACAACCTTGAAGCCCTGGAGTTTGAAAACAATGGCCGTACTGCTTGCACTTATCTCTTAGGGCTGTGCTCTAAACATAAGATACTTTTTACTGGGAAAACGGATGTTAGTGTGACTATTGATAGGCCTGAGATGAAAATCTAGATCAGAACTTGCTTAAAGCATGCAGAGGTTGGATCCATGGATTTGATTCAGGCCCTTCTGCAATTTGTATAATTAAAAAGGATACTTCTGTCTCCTGGAAATGTTAGATTCATTTAAATTAAAAATATTTGTGTGTGACTCTCGGGTCATAGGTATCATCATAGGTATGGTTACAATTCTAATGCCTTACTAGAATCGTATTTTCCTATCCTACTGTGTGAAAACCTGATTGAGTGGTTAAAACAGGCAGGTGTTATAAGGGTGAAGTTGCACGCTACACTTAGACCACATTAAATCTGTGGAATGTTAAACAGTGTTAAAGCTAGAATGTGCTATGAGCCATTCCATGTTAAGGGTTAACACAGTTGCTTGTCTGCACAGCTCTGAATGAGGGAGGTTACAAAACACTCAGGGGCATGGCTATGAGCCAAGACACCTGTACTCTATCCCTGCTTGGGATGGGAGCAACTAGGACAGGGAACAGTGCGTTGTCAGATGCTGGAGGACTACAGATTTCTCTTTTAGATCTCCATGGAACAGACTGAAGTTACCCTAACATAAGCATGGCCCAGAGTTAAACCTCACCTGAAATGGCAGAATTTTGGATGGGATTATTTATTGCAGTTAGCTCTTAACTTGAAAGTGTTTAAAACTTGAAAGATTTTACATTCATTTTAAACAAGCACATTCAGGCTCGTTAACTAGTGCTACGTGTTCATTAAGCATCTTAAAGATTATCATTGATCAGTGTTAACTAGCTAGTGTTAAGGGAACTTCTGAGGATTTCACTGACAGAAAAAGACCAATTTGGAGTCATCCAGCATCCCAGGATGCATAATTCCCAGCCTTTCTCACTTTTCTACTCCAAGGCCTGACTGACAGGCCTCCCTGGAACCTATTTTGGCCTCCCCCAGCCTCAAGCCAAAGGGGCTGGCTGCACTGGGGGCTTAGGTAGGGGCTTCCAGGGCCAAGCCTTCTCCCATCACCCACAATTTATTGAAACAAGTGAGGGCCTAGAGCAGTGGTTCCCAGCCTTGGGGTCACAACCCCATTTGGGTTGCAACAATAAAAATGGGGTCACAAAGACGCTTGACAATGTAGACCAATTACGATGCATGCATTCCCTATTTATAAATAAGCAACAGTTAAAATTATTTTAAATGTTTTCAATGAAAAATATAAAGACCATAAACATTGTAATGCCATGTTTACGACTTGTTGATCGTGTCTGCATCATTTTTGGGGTCTCAAAAACTTCCAATGTTTAAGTGGAGTCACACTGAGGAAAAGGTTGGGAAGCCCTTTTTTCCTCTCTCTCTTATTTAACTTCAATCAAAAAAAAATGATTTTAAATAACTAACTTTTACATAAAAACCCTCATGACCCATGCCCGTGTTTTTTCACCTCCTGGCACGTTGCTTCCCCTGCCACCAGAGCAGGTGTTCAGATTCGGACACCCCCCTGCCCACACACACACGCACTCACAGCCCTGTACTGGCAAGTCTGAACAGTGCGCATTAGAGTGGGTATTAACACCTAATGTGCCCCTGATCATTAGCGTGTGATAACCTTAATACCAACTAATATTCCATGCAATTAGCACTTGCAAACTAGAACATGTAGTTCTACCCTTTGAGAGGTTCAGGGAGCACTTAGTATGAGTTAACAAACATTAATGGGTAGACACTCATGTTTTAAGGACGCTTAGTGTGGTTGAAGTGTAACATGTAAATTCACCCTTAGAATTCATAGATTCATAGATTGTTAGGGGCTGGAAGGGACCATGGAAGATTATCGGGTCCAGCCCCCCTGCACTAGGCAGGAAAGACAACTGGGGTCAGGTGATCCCAGCAAGGTGAGTCTTCTCCAAGGTGCCAGATGTTCATCAACCACAAGGGCTACTTCATAGATTTCATAGACATTAGGGCTAGAAGGGACCTTGGAAGATCATCGAGGTCAGCCATTTCTTTAGGGCCTGGCTCCTCATATTTGAACACCTTGTTATTTAGCTGTAAAAAGTGGTGGGGCTGGCTGCACATACTGCAGAAATACTTCTTTGATGGCCCCCAGTACCCAACAGATTTTAGCACAGGAGAAAATCTAAGCCAAAATATGTTATATTACCTATGGGTTCTCTGTGGTTTGGCATGTTCTGTTCCCAGGAATTCCTGGAACAAAAAAAAGTACCTTCATGCTTTAGCATTTTGAATTTCTGTAGAAGAAGCAGGTGTACAAATACTGAAAATAAAGTGCAGATGCATAGCACCGATATAAAGCAAAAATAAGACGCCCTGTATATTGGAGCAGCACTTCTTTATTAACGTCGAGGCCAATGGAAACCTTGGCTCAAGCCTTTGTCATTTTTGCCCCACCTATGGAAAACAGCAGAAATATGTGGAAACTTTGACTAAGTCTGATCTGTTGAGTGTCGTTGTGTTTATGGTTTGGCACTGAAAAATGATACAAAATGAATCCTCTTTTTTTCTCCTGCTTGCTATATTTTTAATACTTCCTCCTGTATTCCTTATTTTCTTCCCATCTCTCTCTCTCTCTCTCGCTCTCTCTGTATGCATTTCTGTAAAACATACTGGTCTTGCTTCTTTTTGTTTGTTCTACCCCCTCTTCTCCCTCCTTGTGTGGAGATATCCTTTCATATCCACAGGTAAGATATATGTTACATATGTGAACCAAGTATAACATTATGAAGACGAGTAACTACCTTCATATTTAATGAGTCAATAAAAAACAAGCTGTATGCTGTTTGTATAGTGTTCTTGTGGAAGTTACATACATTAATTTCATCTGATCATCTCAGTATTACAGTACAGTAACTTCTTTTTTGTCTTTCCTGTCCTGTCTCTAATTATTTTCTCTTATTTATATGTATTTATTTATTTGTCTTTACTACCTTGTTCTGGCTGTCACTGTCACAAATTGTGTCTATGGTTTAAGATATACTACTGCATACCTCACTAGTAATGTGCTGATTTAGCACAGATTACTATCAATCAGACCTGACTAAAAGAAAAAAGAAGATTGTGGAACATTTTGAATGCCATGGAATTTGTGATGTTAGTGCTACTTAGATTTTTCCATCATCCTTGAATGTAAGCACTTTATCAGCACTTAAATTGCAATCACAACAGTGTGTGCCAGAAGTGGAAAATACTATGAGGTACAATACATAGTTCCAAGAACTTTCTATTTGCTTATTGTATGCAATCATGTCTGTCTCTGGTGTCTGTCCTGCCTTGAGAAATAGGCTAGTATTTGGAGATTCTGGAATTACTCCTTTAATACAAGTAGTAGGTCATGATAATTTTGTTTCAGAAAGCCCTGCATTTTCTATCCACTCATGACTGATCAAGGTGTAACATATTTCCCCACCATCTGAGTTTAGGAGTATAGATTGGTGATAGAAGATTTAATATATCCACCCCCTTACCCTGCATTTCTGACCAATTTAAAGTGGACATGTTTTATTATTTATTATCCTAGCAATATTCCCAGGATACAACTGCAGAATATTTTTCAAACTGGGAATAGTTTTCAGAATGTCCAAGATCCAAGTGGGCCTGCTATAGTGATCAATGTCTAACCCACTATGCATCATACTAGCTATGCCACCGTTGCCCATTTGGGTATATAGCACCAGTGGCAAAATGAATTCTCCCTCAGACCTTCCACACAAGGGTTAAAATGCATCCCCCTGTTTCTTGTGAAGACAGCCAGCATGAGTCCTGGGGGCAGTCATCCCACTTAAACCCTTTTTTAGCTAATGAAGTAACACAAATGCTTTGTTTTGGCCCTTTCCTGAAGATGAATTTCTCCAAGGAGAATAAAAATGACATCCTGAAACCCTTTCTAGGAATACATCAAGAAGGGAAGAGGGTTCCTTGAAG